TGAATATGGAGAGATAACGTAAATCTAACCCTAAAAATGAAAAGAACAATAAAATGAAAAGTTGTACTTATAAAAGCATATAAAGAATGTGCTAAAAAACAACTAAAGCCGTCTAAATTGTCATATAAAAAAAGACAAAAATTGTAACATCCCAAACCGATGCGGGTAGTCCGATCCGATTCGGGAAGTCACATTAAGGCCACCGGAGCGACCCACCGTAAAAATAGCGGAAATTTTAAAACTTTTTATCAGAACATGTAAACTTATAAAATCATTTATCACTATTTAAAAATAAAACAGATTTCCAAACTCGTATATAAATCAAAATACAATTACATGCCCCCTAATCACAAGTACCATACTCTGCAACCACGCCGGAAGAACTCCCTTACTGAAGTCGATAGATGCACTGGTACAATTGTTTTAACCTGAAAAGGTGAGTAATAGAGTGAGCTTTGGAAAGCTCAGTAATACAGAACTACCAGATGATGCTACATGACATGTAGATAAATGGAAAGCCATATAATTTCCTTATTGAATCATATGTATACCAGCTTGCAGAATAATTTGGGGTTCCCTTAGAAGTTCATCGAGTATAAGCCATGAATCTCAGTTCATAAGAAACCTTTCAAAGTATGACATTTTCAGGAGATCGAATAGGATGTCTAGTGTGTTCCAACAGTATAATAAAATCATAATAGGTACAAATCATAGTCCAGTAAATCTCACAATTTCGTAAAAGAGTTTAACTTTTGAAATCATAGTTTAAACCCTTTTCTGGTACACCATCAGTAGTTCCCAAAATTATTTTCCATATAGCTTACTTTATGCACATAGCAAAAAGAAAACCGACTTAAGGATAGGCTATGAAGCTTGTATCCTTAAGCCCAAGTCAATAAGTCCATATAGCTTACCCTAAGCACACAGCAAAGGAAAGCCGACCTAATGAAACATCTTGGGGCCCTCAAGAGTCACATTAGGCCCATTTAGCTTGATCAGAGCTATTCCATCGTAATTCAATTCCAAAATTCAATTGCACCGTGACATAAATTCCATAAATCCAAAAACATGGTAATCATATACCATTCAAAACAAAAATTAGATAGCAGCCATATTCCATAATTGTCACATTAAATTGGTGCATCCATAAAACAATAACCAATGAATTCGGTGTACCACATATTAAAACCAATAAACAGTTCAGTAATAAGTAGGGAACACTAGAGAATCCCAGAATTTCCAGAGGCCATTGTAGTTATCATTTTGGATAACATGAAACTTATGAAATTTGATCGAATTCCTGGAACAAGGTCCTATTGAGGAGAATCGATTACTAACCGATCTAGCCAGACATTTAATGTTGATACATTAGAATCCCACTATATTTTCGTGTGCTTTAGGAAAACGTTCAGGAACCTTTATACATAATAATTCTAAATTCAGATTTACTGCGAGTGATTCCATTACCCAAACAATCAGGGGTATTCAGGAATATACTTTAAAATCATAGGATTTCAGCCCAATTGAACCAAATGAGATATTCAGAATCTTTTCCATCTGCGTTACTTGTTTTTTTTCAAACATGACCGAAGTGATTTTAGATGAAATATAGAATCGAAGATTCAAGTCATTTACAATCTACGACTATCGATCATATTATCAAACAACTCGAGTTACACAACTCTCAAACTGATGCATGTCAACAAGTCAATTCATTATCCTTCCAGTGTATTCACTCTTTAATACCATAGTGCAGATCCATAGATCATCCCCATAATCATCACTGAATAAATCTTCCAACGGTCTTTATTTCATTTCCACATTTCAACAATATCAGGAAATACTGACGTACTTGATCCATGGCTCATAACCCATAATGACAATTCATCATGTAAGTTCAACAGTGTTTCCAAACTCATCAAATCACCTATTTAATCCTTACTCATTGATGTTACTTAGTTCGTTTGGTAAGCAAGTCTATCCCGATTACTTTAAAGTTTTCCAGAATAATTCAGACGTTTCTGAATTTCAAATATACGTTGTACTACATTTCATTTCAATTTATTCATATAATAAAGTCATTCTGGTATTCGTGGTTGATTTGACTAACGACTACCCACTTATTAGTACTGTATGCGCTCTAGAGTTGAGCTGCGCCAAGTACTTCCAGAATTATCATCGATCCAAATTTGAGCAGATGAACAAACATTCAAGTGATACTTATATCATTCAGGTAATGATATAGTACTAACGTTGGTTAATCACTTAAGTTGTGTTTCACAACTTTTACTGGTAGCACAACATCCATGTTTATTTGGATTTCTTAATTAATCCAAGACATTTACTTATTCTAGGTCATAAGGGCATTTTGGTCATTTGGTGCTTAACATTTTTTTCTATTCATTTCAAAGCTTGAGTATATCCATTCATTCCTGAGCTTGGTGACATTCTTGAGTTATTTCCATTCCAGGGGTAATTTGGTCATTTTATAATTCTAGAATATTTCAATCATTTCCTTCCATCCGGTCTTATTATTAATTCAATCTTATCATTTACTTCAGTACTTTCGAACAATTCTGTCAGCAGAATACCTCCAATAAATTACTCTTCAAGTATTTACTCCTTATTCGAATATTTTCGGGTCAAGTGTCTTCTCAGATTTTACAAACGGAATATTATAAATTTTTCTGTACAAAGACAGGATCTTAACAATTAAATTCGTACTTAATCGAGTTAAGTACAAATCCTCAAAGTACTCTCTCATTCAGGGTCAATTCAGACTATTTTATCTCTCAAGGGCATTTCGTAATTTCTTAACCAAATAATTTCAATATTAGCACTTAACGAAAATAATTATAATTTAGAGATCCTATGATCAATTGCTTTCCCGAACATTCTTTGATTTTGAAATGATTCATTCACAAACTCTCATAGGATTAAAACCGGTTATCCATAATTTCCAAATAAAACTAACATTTCTTATGCACATCAGTAGTTATATCGGATCAATATGTCTTTTCAGAGTTATTAACCAACTTCCAGGGGCAATTCTTATCATTTTCCAACATAAGGGTAATTTCGTAATTTTACCATATCGGAGTATTCTCATAATTTTTCATCCAAGTATCTTTAACATTTAACCCTTGATGATATAAAATATAAGTTATAAATCCAGAGCTGATTTCTTTATCACCAATCACAAACTTGTAATTTAATTCTAACAATTATCAATCTCTTATCTTAGTCATTCGATCCGTATTCAGTTACAGAATTTCTACCACATTCATATCGAGTGAATAAATTATTCAACTCCACAAAAGTGACCAACATTATCTTATTCATACATTTACCAATATCAACATGTTCCATAAAGCATAAAGAGGTAGTAAAGTATTACCTCGATTTCCGTGCAATACCCGATCGACCATAAAAATTCCATTCGAATGCCTTTGATCTTCAATTCAACTTCAAATAATTCCTCAGATACATATCAACATAAATTATATCAGAAACGGAGCTTAATTGCGATAAACAGATCAAATCGGGTGATAAATCAGTGAAAGACGGCTTACCGGGTTCGAATTTAGCGAAACGGACTTCGGATTCGGATTCAGGACGACGTCGAAAGCATAAAATGTGACTTTTCGGAAATTTGGAATTTTCAGTCAAAATCAAAGTCAACGGGTTTGACCGGATATTTCGAAAAACGAACAGCGGAATCGGATTTGGAACGTCGAAAAATGTCAGGATAGGTATACTCGGTCGAAGTCAAAGGTCGTTTAATGACCGGTCAAAGCCAGTCAAAGTTTTGGTCAACAGTGGTCAACGACGGTCAACGGTCAACGGGTCGAGTCAATGGGTCGGGTCGGGTAAACGGGTCGGGTCGGGTTGTGACCGGTCAAACCGGTCAACTATGCACCAAAACCGGTCAAACCGGTCATTTTTTTCTTCCCCACGCGCAGTGGCGGCGCGTGGGGGCGCGTGAACAGTGCTAAAATCCCGGAAAAATTTCTAAAAATTATTTTGAGCGATTTCGAGATACTTAAAAAGCTCGGTTCACAATTTTGAACGGCGGAGAGCTCGATTTCAACAAATCGGAAACTTTGACCGCTTCACCTCCTCACGCGCCGCCGTCGACGGAGACCAAGGATGACACCGGCAAACTCGGAACGATGCAACGAACACGATGGTGCGGGAGGTGTCGTAAACAGATGACCCGATCGTCGTGAATCTATGAAAAACCAACTAAAACCGAGTTATTACCGACGATACTTCCGACTGAAATTCACGACGAACGGCGATGATTCACGACGAAAGGTTTGAGGGGTTTTGTTCCTCGATTGACAACGAACACGATGGTGGTTTCGGCTCGTCGTTTGGAGGTCGGACGGCGAGTAGATCGGAGTTGGAAGTTGGGTTGTTGGAGAAGGGAAATCTGGAAAATATGAATCCTGCGCACGAGGAGGAGCTTATAATTCATCATATATAAGAAATGGTTAAATCATGGGTTTAGCCACTGAATTTCCTGCACTTTATAAAATGGTCTGCCAACTTTAAAACTTTACAATTTAATCCCCAATGTTTCTTTCAAAATATCAATTAAATCCGCCACTTTATAATTTCTTAATTTTAGCCCCTAAATTGGGGTGTTACAAAAATCAGCTTATCTCAGTGGTTAAAAGGATTGTTGTTGTTCCTAGAGCCCACGGGTTTGAGCACCAACGATTGCAGTAGGGTGATCGAACATTCATTGTCAAATGATTGAGAGTATTTAGAACATATACTACTTTATAACTACCTTAGTTTGGTGATAAAATACATCTATCATTTTTCTATATCGTAATAACAACAGAGAGTTGTCAACTTAAAATTTTTAATCACTTACTTTAGAGATTGTTGACAACTCATTCATTGTCAAACAATAAACGAAGCAATAAGTTCATTGTTAAACAAATTAGTGCTCCATTAATTTAAATTTTATACATGTGTATGTGGAAATGTGCCGATTAAATTGCTAATACAATCAGTCCTTCCAACAATTAAAGTTATTTCAGCCAGAAAATTTTCACTAAGATTTCACACTTCGAAAATTGTTACAATTTATTCAAAGACAATGAACTTCTTCATAAGCCGCTTGCATTTGTGGCACACGATGTTTCCTTGCCTCAACCCTTCAGAATAAGGAACAACCTGTGTGTGATCGCATGGCCCTTCAACGAGAGGAGGTTCAAGGACAGTTCTAAGAGCATCTATGAACTCCAACCGTGCCACATTGTCACCCCACTGTCGGAACAGGTTCGAGCATCGAATGATTTCGTCCCCTCTAACCTTTACGACATCTGTTGACGATCCCTTCCCAAACACTGCCCAGCCATTGGTATCAATGTTATGCAGCAGAGCTAAGACCTCAACCAGAACATGATCAGTAGGTTCAGTACTGCCATCGTTCCCGAGTCGGGATTTCGATCGTCTCATACATTCTAACCGAAGCCAAAACAACTCTATCTTTGTGAATGAGAGTATGTTGCTTTGTATTTCTCCATTGATAAAGCTCAAAATCTCTTTTATATGTTCATCAGGGTTATTTTTACCTACATATATCATGGCAAGCTGCATACCTGCATCTTTTATATCTTTCATTTTGGCATTAAATTCTTTAATCCAATCTAAGTTTTCACTTCCATATAAGCAAATGTTTCTCCCTTCTTCAACCTGAAATGGATTCAAAAGTAGAATATAAAAGATACAGAAAAAAGGAAAAAGAAAAGCATTTCAATATCTTACCCGTTGTGTGAGAATGGGGAGAATTTCATTTGTTATGAATTGTATTGTCCATTGCTGCCCATCCCAAAGCTCATTTTCTCTTGAAAGCGAAAAAGGGTATGCTCTAGGACCCCATATGAATACCATATCGAGCGCATTCGAGCTTGTGATCGTCCCTTCCGAATCCAAAACTACCATAATGGCTTCACCTCTATAGTTCCATTCTTGTTTCATGAAGTTTATCACTGTAGAGTTTAGAGACCAAGGTTTTCGAACCGAGTAAAATGGCACCGAGTTCGATAAAAAGTTGAACCATCTCTCATCAGCATTGGTCCATACTTCGGAAGACGAAATGGGAACCCATATAATGGCATAACTTCCTTCTACTTTTTCTCTGTGAGGATGATCATATGTTTGGTTCACTAGAAAAACAACTGCTCTAATGGAAGAAGATCTGGCTTGGAAATCAAAAGTAGGGCAACCTTGCTTTCCAGTTCAGAAACACCTAACTGGCAATCAATCCAGGAGTTTATTATAAGATAAACAATATTTTACCCTTTCTTGCGTCAAAAGAAAGAAAGAAGGAAAGAAAAAGAGGATTTACCCTATCTTATGTCAAATCATCCTTGAGTGGCAAGTCATCTTTTAAAGCGAACAACATCCGAAGCACTTCTTGATTGTCGATATGGGACTTCTTAAAAAAGTTCAGTAGCTTCTGGTTCAGCTGGTCCTCTGTAAATACAATAGAAAAACTTGTATCAGAATTCCATTGTATGTAAATGTAATGTTGTTGTCATTGAAAGGATCCTAAATCATTCTAAAAAATCCAGACAGTGACCTCTTTGTTGACAACAAGCGTCCACCAGCGGCCTAAGGTGACGGTACATGTTGCTCAACATATATTCCAAACTCAAGAGCTCCAACGCCGCTTTTTTTATATTCGAATACCTGCAGAAGTAGCTGAAGTTAGCTGAGTTATTCAATTTGGAAAGTATTTGGGCTTAGCATATGAAGAAAACTCATTGGAACATGTAAAGGTAAATTCAGCATTTTCTTAGATTTATGACAGGTCAGAACATGCACTTGCTCAGGTTTCATGGCCATCAGGCTTGTGATTTGGGAAGAGCAGACCAAGGTACTTCTAATGATCCAGTAAGCTGTAACGTATATTTTGGACTTCATCGTAGCTAGGTTGTCGATATTGAGTCCTACATGTACAATGTACAGAGCTTCAAACTCGATGACGCACTTTGTCAAATCCACCATTGTCTTAAAAAGCAATCTTAACGCATTCAATTGAGGTTTCAACATTCTCATGTTACTAGGAAGTTGTTTAAAGTTTGCAACTGATACTGCCAAGGGGATATGAGGGCGTAGCTGCATTATGAGGCTAAATTCACCATAGCTTGTTGCAAAAGCCGCCATTGCTAATGCCACTTTTGCGTCCCATCTATGACTTCCCAGCAAATCGAACAACGCCATCGTTCTCGTATGAAGATCGCCTTTACCAGGGCACTTGCAAAGCATCTGCAATACAATGAAGAAGAATAATCAATACATTTTTCAATGCAAGGGAACCAGAAATTGAGAGAAAACCTTACCTCATGTGCAACTTTATAAATTGTATGCATCAGTGGTTCTGGTGATTCAATCAATTCAATGTTACCAATGTTACTCTTTAAATTTGCTTTATCAGATTCATCAGAAACCTGTACCGGAAAACAACATCGAGGTCGTTAACAACACTTGAATTCCTTAAACCAAAAGACATGCAATGAAGTTTCACTGATTCAGTAAACATTGTTGGAGTACTGCATGAGAGTTAAATGAAGAACAAGCACATCTCAGAATCAAGCTATATAGGCCACTAAATTCAGAGTAACAATAAGACCAAGCAGGGAGTGACTGGTTCTTCTGATGTAGTGGCATAAAACATGATGTTCTCCACCGCAGATAGAAGCATCTCAGAATTGAGGCGACGGCGATCCGGATCATGGCTAAGGAGGAGCTTCTTTATTAGGACTTCGTCGACTACATACGAGGAGGAATGTTGCCAGAAGCTACCCCTTTGAACTGAAGTCATGGGTAAGTGATGACGGTGACTCAAAGGTCTTCCTAGTTTTGAACACAAAGGACTGTAAATCTTGTCACCTACTTCAAACTGTTGAAATTAACTAAAGGAGGTTCTTACTTAAAGAATCGTAACTGTGGACCCGAATCAATTCAAAGCAGAAGCAAATGCAGTTTCTTTGCCTGCTGGTTTCTCTAGAAACAAGTCGTGAACATGGCGGAAAATGATACCAAAACAGGTTAAAAGAAGGCAGGTTAAATGAACCATGAAAGTGCATGGATGTCTCTCGAGAGTTTCCAGTCCGACAATGAATTATAAAGTGAAAGTGATCTTCTTGGACTGTTACTAACAATTTTTTGATCCGACAGAATTTAAATTGGGGTGACGGTGAGGTTGCTTTCTTTATATTCCTTTTGTTGTTGAAATTGATGCTTTGAATTGAAAAAAGGTGGTGGTGGGGACAAAGCTTCTTGCCATGGAAAAGAAAGAATATCTATATATATATATATATATATATATATATATATCATGGTGTCATGGTGAGCGCTTTAACTTTGGAGAACAGTGGGGACAAATGTTTTATTGAGAATAAAGGAAGCTGCTCTTTCCTTGTTTGGTATTGCTTTGAGAGATTGAGTTGGAAACAAGCATATTAGTGTTGGGAAACTAAGATAGCAGAGAGTACAAACAAGAAGTGAGAATGACAAGATTAAAAATTTACTGAAATTATAGAGAAAGAGAGGCAAAATATCAACATGTAACCCCCTCCCTAAAGCCACCTTCTCTCAAACAAAGAAAAAATCTAATTCAACATGTTTGAGTGCATAACTGGGTTTCGCCTTCGCGGGTACTGTTATGATACTCGTATTATCACACCAAAGTGTTGGTTTCCATGTCGAGTGATTGCTATGAATTGTAGTGCTTCAACAATACTCGATTTACTGGACTGAAGACTTTATGAAAATAAACACCAACTGACCATCTGCCTTCCTTTTCATCTTGAAAATCGATTTGCAACTTACAGACTTCATATCTGGTGGTAGCTGAACCAGAGACTATGTTCTATTTCAGATTAAGGCATTATGCTCTGTCCAAGCTGCTAATCTCCGGTGTTCATGTTGCATGGTGATTGGTGCTTAAATTATACATTATTTTATGATTAATTACTCCTTTTTTTTAAGTTACTAACTGATCCTTTTCGTTCATTTTTAATGCAGGATAGTAGATTATAGAAATGTTGCTAAAACTGACGAAATTGTGTAATTTTTATTTTCTAGATTAGTGGTAGTGACGTGAAGATCAAAGGCTCGGTCGGATTTTTGAATTCAAATTAGGATTTATTTTTTTGTTTTAGGAATTATCTTTTTAATTTGAATGTTAATTTCTTAGGGTTTTTAAGACTATAAATACCCATTGGGGTAAGCCTCAAAGCATTCGGAATTCATTATTCAACTCTAGTTTCTTTCTTTCTTTTAAGTTTTATAAAAAATTCCCTTTTTTCCGTTTTATTTTCTTTTCAAGTTTACTTTATTTTCTTTTAAAATGCTAAGCATGAACATGCTTAGTTAAGTTTCCATAGCCAAAAGCTAAAACAATGACTTGATTTTGAATCGTGAGAATAGAAATGCACCTCATACTCTCAAAGGTTACATTTTCAATTTTCGGAAATCAAGGATTGATAATGATCATCCTTTTACAATCAAAGCGATTTAATTTCAAAAGTGCACATTGAAATTGAATTTTGGTTTCGATTAATAGTTGGGAGGAAGGATCGTCTTTTGACACATTCAATTTCCTGTGAACACACTTAGCGGCGGTCTGCTAAGAGAAATTGAAATCATGTTAGATTCTCAATTGAGACGATAAAATCCTCGGGGTTTTCTAGAATTTAAAGGTGTCAAGTTAGTGAGTGATTGCCGCTATTAATTCACAAAGAGTTGAGATTTAAAAATTGATTTTAGATGCTCGATTTATTTGAGAGAAAAACAATTTACAGGGGTTGGACCCTATAGACTGTAACTGGCGTGAACCCATAGGTAAAATCTTATTTAATGATCGATTTAAATCGAGGCATAAACTTTAGCCCAAGGCAGATTTTATCAATTGAATTTTCGTCTTTTAATTTCACCCTGTACTTTCTTTATTTGTTTAAATCAATGTTAAAAACTTAACGGTAATGCTAATGTGTCACTATAAAGTAATATCATATTATCATTGAAAAAAAAATTGTAATGTAAACAATTATGTTTACTTTTAAACAGTGAGTGACCAAAATCGTAATATTATACTATATGATTTAAAAAAATAGTTAAATGATTTAAACGAAATAATGTGAATAGGTGGATGACTAAATACGTAGTTTACCTAAAGAAAATGTAAAACCCCCAACCCCTATCCGACCCGGATCTGAGTCTGAGGTGTCACATTAGCTTTCCAAAACTCTGTTCTTTACAATTCCGTAAAATCTTAAATTCATCATTTAAGAAAATGGATACTTTACCTTAATAATTACAATCAAATTGTTTCTTTAAAACGATCAGAGCATATTCAATTCAAAATCTTGTAACTAAATGCCAACTAACTCTATAAACAAAATACATATGTTCAATATGTTTCTGATCTGATCCTTTTAAGGAATATACTGACCTGTCTTGCTCCTCGCTACTTCCATTCTCGCTTCTCAAACCTACGTGTGAAACATTCACACGCTAAGTCTATGACTTAGTGAGGCATTAAACTTATAAGAGAAACTAACTTTTTAACTATGCATGAACATATCATACCATGTTATCACACAAAACAATGTAACATTACATATAATTAAATGTACACAGATACATATCACTCATCATTTACTTCATTAATCTTATTTCACTATCCAAATTATTAACATTTATATAAGTTAATCATATCTTCTTGTCCTAATCTTTTCCACCAACATATATGACTCATAAACCAAACAATACAAATATCATCATATATCACAAAAGCATATTTTTCACATGTAATGTATTTATTGATATATCTTTATTTAGCCCATGAACATTTCTGAGAGCTAAAGATACGTGAGTACATAGAGGTTGTGCACTATGCTGTCACCATAGCTCGTAAAATTCCCACTAGGGGCGCATAGAATTTGTCCTGTAGGACCACTATGTCCCGAAGGACCACTATGTCCCGAAGGACCACTGTGTCCCGAAGGACCACTATGTCCCGAAGGACCACTATGTCCCGAAAGACCACTGATAATCCCTCGACTCTTGGCATGCCAACTATATCTCTAGATCTCATAACATATAACATGGGCATTATCTTTATATCATTTCGCATATTCTTATCACATAGGCACATAGCTTCTTATCACATTTCATATGATCACATATACTTTTTTTCTCATATTCCTGTCATTCATAATCATATATACATGTGCTCATATCATTTCTCATTTTCACATAAACATATGATTCACTTTCACATATCACATATCCTTGTAATCACATAGCTTATTTTTCACGTAATTCATATCACTTTTCATAAGATTTCATATTCCTATATCACATAGAACTCATAATCTTTCTTGTGTAATCACTTATATCATATTATATCACTTACCCTTGGGTTACCTTATGTTTACATATATTATATAATTCTTTAACTCATAGCGTATGTCACCTGTTCATAACATTTCTTATGTCCTTATCATACCTCTTATTTCATATTCTTAGATAATCATATAGATAATTTTCACTATTTCACATAACTTATCATACTAATATGTATTTACACAAATCATGCAACATATACAATAACATGTCACCACATCGACTCATGCACATATATGAACCATAACAAATACATACTTCTATCTAGGAATTCATGCATTTTACTATTGGAAATAGACTTGTCGCAAGACTTATTTCCCATTAAACATCATATACTAAATAAGTTCCAATCCCATTTTATGATTCATTTCTTTCGATCGAATCTTAACTTGATAGTCGTCCCGGAACTTGTTCGTGCTCGATATCTATATAATCATAATTTCCAAGACGATTATTAGAAGCCTAAACCTTATAATTCAGTACACAAAGTAGCTTCGAAATTTCCATGCATTGATGCCTTCCTGTGCGCATCGATGCACACTGAATAATTTCTGGAATTTACCCTTGATGCATCGGTACATGTTGAATGTGTACCGATGCACATTAGCCCAGAATTCCAATATATGTACGAAAATTCAATTTTTCCAGTTTAATTGCTTCATATATCATCCCCTTTCTTATTCTTAACTTACATACTCATGCTTAAACTCATTTATTCTCATTTATCACATCTTTATCCTCAAAATCTTATATTCCAAATGAAATTCAAGAATCATACCAAATTTTCTATATGTTCTAAATCCAATTCTATCACTCCAAATCTCTTAATTCAACTATTGACAAGTCAAATTTAACTTAAAATTCTACTTATCAACGCTTTTCCAAAATTTCATTTAAAAACTTCTAATCTTTAATCTCTTTTAACTCCTTCATCTTATGGTTTTAAGACAAATTAAGTTTTCTTTAATCTTAATTATCATCTCAAGAATTAAACCCAACTTCAAATTGAAAGAAAATAATCACTTGACATAATCTTACCTTACCAATGGAGCCACGGGAAGAAATGAAGAAGAAACCAAGCATCTCCAGAGTCTTCTTATTTTTCCTTTTCTCTCCACGTGTCTACTTCTTTTATAAGGGAAAATAAAAATCTTTTTTTGTCAAATGACCATTATACCCCTTATTCCATCAGTTATTTACTGAACAATAAAAAAAAAGAAAATAACCTCAGTGACCAAAAATGCCTTAATATACGAATTTAACCAACTTTTTTTGGATTTGTCAAAATGACAACAAATTCGCAACGCGAATTCCAATTTCGCAACCCAGTTTCCAATTTCGCAACGCGAATGCGAATATGTAAATCGCATTGCGATTTTCCAAATTCGCAACGCGATAGTCAAATTCTCAACGCGAAAGTCAAATTCGCAA